TAGTTGTTGTTTAACTAGTTGTCGTGTAACTAGTTGTCGTGTAACTAGTTGTCGTGTAGCTAGTGGTCGTGTAGCTAGTTGTCGTGTAACTAGTTGTCGTGTAGCTAGTTGTCATGTAACTAGTTGTTGTGTAGCTAGTTGTCGTGTAGCTAGTTGTCGTGTAGCTAGTTGTCGTGTAACTAGTTGTCGTGTAGCTAGTTGTCGTGTAGCTAGTTGTCGTGTAACTAGTTGTCGTGTAACTAGTTGTCGTGTAGCTAGTTGTTGTGTAGCTAGTTGTTGTTTAACTAGTTATCGTGTAGCTAGTTGTTGTGTAGCTAGTTGTTGTTTAACTAGTTGTCGTGTAGCTAGTTGTTGTGTAGCTAGTTGTTGTGTAGCTAGTTGTTGTTTAACTAGTTGTCGTGTAACTAGTTGTCGTGTAACTAGTTGTCGTGTAGCTAGTGGTCGTGTAGCTAGTTGTCGTGTAACTAGTTGTCGTGTAGCTAGTTGTCGTGTAACTAGTTGTTGTGTAGCTAGTTGTCGTGTAGCTAGTTGTCGTGTAGCTAGTTGTCGTGTAGCTAGTTGTCGTGTAGCTAGTTGTCGTGTAGCTAGTTGTCGTGTAACTAGTTGTCGTGTAGCTAGTTGTCGTGTAACTAGTTGTCGTGTAACTAGTTGTCGTGTAACTAGTTGTCGTGTAGCTAGTTGTTGTGTAGCTAGTTGTTGTTTAACTAGTTGTCGTGTAGCTAGTTGTTGTGTAGCTAGTTGTTGTTTAACTAGTTGTCGTGTAGCTAGTTGTCGTGTAGCTAGTTGTTGTGTAGCTAGTTGTTGTTTAACTAGTTGTCGTGTAACTAGTTGTCGTGTAACTAGTTGTCGTGTAGCTAGTGGTCGTGTAGCTAGTTGTCGTGTAACTAGTTGTTGTGTAGCTAGTTGTCGTGTAACTAGTTGTTGTGTAGCTAGTTGTCGTGTAGCTAGTTGTCGTGTAGCTAGTTGTCGTGTAGCTAGTTGTCGTGTAGCTAGTTGTCGTGTAACTAGTTGTCGTGTAGCTAGTTGTCGTGTAGCTAGTTGTCGTGTAACTAGTTGTCGTGTAGCTAGTTGTCGTGTAGCTAGTTGTCGTGTAGCTAGTTGTCGTGTAACTAGTTGTCGTGTAACTAGTTGTCGTGTAGCTAGTGGTCGTGTAGCTAGTGGTCGTGTAGCTAGTGGTCGTGTAGCTAGTTGTCGTGTAACTAGTTGTCGTGTAGCTAGTGGTCGTGTAGCTAGTTGTCGTGTAACTAGTTGTCGTGTAGCTAGTTGTCGTGTAGCTAGTTGTTGTGTAACTAGTTGTCGTGTAGCTAGTTGTCGTGTAGCTAGTTGTCGTGTAACTAGTTGTTGTGTAACTAGTTGTCGTGTAGCTAGTTGTCGTGTAACTAGTTGTCGTGTAGCTAGTTGTTGTGTAGCTAGTTGTTGTTTAACTAGTTGTCGTGTAACTAGTTGTCGTGTAACTAGTTGTCGTGTAGCTAGTTGTTGTGTAGCTAGTTGTTGTTTAACTAGTTGTCGTGTAGCTAGTTGTTGTGTAGCTAGTTGTTGTTTAACTAGTTGTCGTGTAGCTAGTTGTTGTGTAGCTAGTTGTTGTGTAGCTAGTTGTTGTTTAACTAGTTGTCGTGTAACTAGTTGTCGTGTAGCTAGTGGTCGTGTAGCTAGTTGTCGTGTAACTAGTTGTCGTGTAGCTAGTTGTCATGTAACTAGTTGTTGTGTAGCTAGTTGTCGTGTAGCTAGTTGTCGTGTAGCTAGTTGTCGTGTAACTAGTTGTCGTGTAGCTAGTTGTCGTGTAGCTAGTTGTCGTGTAACTAGTTGTCGTGTAACTAGTTGTCGTGTAGCTAGTTGTTGTGTAGCTAGTTGTTGTTTAACTAGTTATCGTGTAGCTAGTTGTTGTGTAGCTAGTTGTTGTTTAACTAGTTGTCGTGTAGCTAGTTGTTGTGTAGCTAGTTGTTGTGTAGCTAGTTGTTGTTTAACTAGTTGTCGTGTAACTAGTTGTCGTGTAACTAGTTGTCGTGTAGCTAGTGGTCGTGTAGCTAGTTGTCGTGTAACTAGTTGTCGTGTAGCTAGTTGTCGTGTAACTAGTTGTTGTGTAGCTAGTTGTCGTGTAGCTAGTTGTCGTGTAGCTAGTTGTCGTGTAGCTAGTTGTCGTGTAGCTAGTTGTCGTGTAGCTAGTTGTCGTGTAACTAGTTGTCGTGTAGCTAGTTGTCGTGTAACTAGTTGTCGTGTAACTAGTTGTCGTGTAACTAGTTGTCGTGTAGCTAGTTGTTGTGTAGCTAGTTGTTGTTTAACTAGTTGTCGTGTAACTAGTTGTCGTGTAACTAGTTGTCGTGTAGCTAGTGGTCGTGTAGCTAGTTGTCGTGTAACTAGTTGTCGTGTAGCTAGTTGTCGTGTAACTAGTTGTTGTGTAGCTAGTTGTCGTGTAGCTAGTTGTCGTGTAGCTAGTTGTCGTGTAGCTAGTTGTCGTGTAGCTAGTTGTCGTGTAACTAGTTGTCGGTTAGCTAGTTGTCGTGTAGCTAGTTGTCGTGTAACTAGTTGTCGTGTAGCTAGTTGTCGTGTAGCTAGTTGTCATGTAGCTAGTTGTCGTGTAACTAGTTGTCGTGTAACTAGTTGTCGTGTAGCTAGTGGTCGTGTAGCTAGTGGTCGTGTAGCTAGTGGTCGTGTAGCTAGTTGTTGTGTAACTAGTTGTCGTGTAGCTAGTGGTCGTGTAGCTAGTTGTCGTGTAACTAGTTGTCGTGTAGCTAGTTGTCGTGTAGCTAGTTGTTGTGTAACTAGTTGTCGTGTAGCTAGTTGTCGTGTAGCTAGTTGTCGTGTAACTAGTTGTTGTGTAACTAGTTGTCGTGTAGCTAGTTGTCGTGTAGCTAGTTGTCGTGTAACTAGTTGTCGTGTAACTAGTTGTCGTGTAACTAGTTGTCGTGTAACTAGTTGTCGTGTAGCTAGTTGTCGTGTAGCTAGTTGTCGTGTAACTAGTTGTCGTGTAACTAGTTGTCGTGTAGCTAGTTGTCGTGTAACTAGTTGTCGTGTAGCTAGTTGTCGTGTAACTAGTTGTCGTGTAGCTAGTTGTCGTATACCTAGTTGTCGTGTAACTAGTTGTCGTGTAGCTAGTTGTCGTGTAGCTAGTTGTCATGTAACTAGTTGTCGTGTAACTAGTTGTCGTGTAACTAGTTGTCGTGTAACTAGTTGTCTTGTAACTAGTTGTTGTGTAGCTAGTTGTTGTTTAACTAGTTGTCGTGTAGCTAGTTGTTGTGTAGCTAGTTGTTGTTTAACTAGTTGTCGTGTAGCTAGTTGTCGTGTAGCTAGTTGTTGTGTAGCTAGTTGTTGTTTAACTAGTTGTCGTGTAACTAGTTGTCGTGTAACTAGTTGTCGTGTAGCTAGTGGTCGTGTAGCTAGTTGTCGTGTAACTAGTTGTCGTGTAGCTAGTTGTCGTGTAACTAGTTGTTGTGTAGCTAGTTGTCGTGTAGCTAGTTGTCGTGTAGCTAGTTGTCGTGTAGCTAGTTGTCGTGTAGCTAGTTGTCGTGTAACTAGTTGTCGTGTAGCTAGTTGTCGTGTAGCTAGTTGTCGTGTAACTAGTTGTCGTGTAGCTAGTTGTCGTGTAGCTAGTTGTCGTGTAGCTAGTTGTCGTGTAACTAGTTGTCGTGTAACTAGTTGTCGTGTAGCTAGTGGTCGTGTAGCTAGTTGTCGTGTAGCTAGTTGTCGTGTAACTAGTTGTCGTGTAACTAGTTGTCGTGTAACTAGTTGTCGTGTAACTAGTTGTCGTGTAACTAGTTGTCGTGTAACTAGTTGTCTTGTAACTAGTTGTCGTGTAGCTAGTTGTCGTGTAGCTAGTTGTCGTGTAACTAGTTGTCGTGTAACTAGTTGTCTTGTAACTAGTTGTCGTGTAACTAGTTGTCGTGTAGCTAGTTGTCGTGTAACTAGTTGTCGTGTAACTAGTTGTCGTGTAACTAGTTGTCGTGTAACTAGTTGTCTTGTAACTAGTTGTCGTGTAGCTAGTTGTCGTGTAGCTAGTTGTCGTGTAACTAGTTGTCGTGTAACAAGTTGTCGTGTAGCTAGTTGTCGTGTAACAATTTGTCGTGTAGCTAGTTGTTGTGTGTAAGTGTAATAATTCTTTCACCTTTTTTATGTTGACATAACTGGACTTCGAACTGCAGACAATTTAAAGGACACTTTCAAATGCCTGTAAGCATATTGGGCATATAGGGCTAGACCTATATTTTTTTTTATAGACCAATCGGCAACTCGATGGGTGGTGTGGTCAACATCACGCCAGCCGCCGTTGTTTCCCCAGGAATGTACCTGGCACAAATTTAAGGCTAGGTCGACCTGGAAAGAAGGTCATTTTTTACAGAAACGAAAATTCCAGCTGTATCAGAACCTGAATCAACCTTCGGATCCCCAGGCAAGCGTTTAGCCGCTACACTGTGGCAGCTTTCCTAGCAATGGTGCTTGCTGACTGTACTGTAGAATGTATGGTTGGTTATCAGAGAGTTGTCGTCTTTTATCACAGTGCCGTGCAGCGTTGATTGATTAGTTGTGTTATCTTCGGAAGACAACAGAAGGCTTTGCATCGATACTGAAGTGGTTAGGGAGACTGGTCTTTCAACAGTATCTTTGAGTTTTCCTCATTCGATTAATTTGCTGTGATCAAAGATAGAGAACAGTCACAGGTTGTGGCTAGGTACTAGCCTTTAAGGGCTTGGTTTCGAATCCACATCTCCAACAGATACACACACAAAAAAAGCAACAACAAAAAAAAATATAAAAAAAAGACATGTTGTCTTGCATGGCAAAAATGTGTAAAAGAACATGTCGTGGCAAATAAAAGCGACCGTGATGTTGACCGTGTCAGCTTTCCAGTGTCTTTTGGTCTGTTAAACAAAAATCATAAGTCATAGCGTCATATGCCTGGGTTTCCCTGTTATGAAAAGCATCCTCTACTTTGCTACTTTTAACCAAAGATGTCACCGAACTATTTCCCTATTGCTACTTGTATTACTTTTCCACTTGATTTTCAGACACGCTGGCGACTTCGGCAATCTTCGTCAATCTCCGGATGGACGAGTTGACAAAACCTTCACAGACCCAGTAGCTACCTTGTTTGGGTCGTACTCCATAATCGGTAGAGGTTTGGTGGTGAGTGCAAGTAGAAACAGACACATAAACTATTGAATAAACCTTTTCTAATTTTTCTTCTTCTTTCGTTCGCCCTTCATGGCGTGTGTGCGTGGCATCCTGATTGCTGTTGTGCGACTCCTAGCTGGTTGCCTCCTACTTCAGTACCTTGTTTTGCTAGGGTAGACTGTGGTCATACTCGAGGAGAGTAGGCTCATCCATTCGTCTTTCGCTTTTACCTCGTTTGTTGTCCCATCCAGTTTCCCGCCGGGGGTTGAGACCCCAACCTTCAACTGGATTGCTGGGAAGAAACAGGGTCCACCTCATGAAGGTGAGGTAGGCTTGAGCAAGAGAGGCTAACAGACATTAAGAGTCTTGTATTGTGCATCATTGCTCCATTAGGACCCCACTTGTTCTTCATCTTCAATCGTTTTGTGAGAACAAAAACTTATATCAGGAGGCTAGTAGCCTTTGACGAAGGCTATCTCGTAGCCCCAGATCTTTGTGTGTACCAAACATTTCTGTCTTGACTGAGGTTTGAACAGGCCAGCCAGTGCTAACAGCCGCTCTAAGACAAAGAAGAAAGCGCTATGTTAGACACATCCTGAGAAGGGACAAGGTCCCAAACAGACACTACAATGGTAAATAAAGTGATAGAAGACTTGAGGACGTCCCAAAAAAAAAAAAAAAACACACACACACACACACTAAAGCAATCGTTGATGAGAGAAGTCGAGCGTTCTGGACTGGATTCCATCCATGCCATTTCAAAGATTGCAGGAGATAGAATGGAATGGAAGAATTGACAGCAAATGGTCTTCTTCATCAAGTCTTCTACAACAGGCAACAAGGCAAAAGGGTGACCAAGAAAGAGATGGGTAGAGGGATGGGAATTCATCGGAGTCAATTTAAAACCAGTTATGGCTGGGAAAGGTCTCAGTTTAAAACCAGTTATGGCTGGGAAAGGTCTCAGTTTAAAACCAATTATGGCTAGGAAAGCGCTAAATTTAAAACCAGTTATAGCTGGGAAAGGCCTCAATTTACAACCAATTATGGCTGAGAAAGCCCTCAATTTAAAACCAGTTATCCCTGGGAAAGGCCTCAGTTTAAAACCAGTTATGGCTGGGAAAGCCCCCCTCCTCCACATTTTAAAACCAGTTATGGCTGGGAAAGCCCTCAATTTAAAACCAGTTATGGCTGGGAAAGGCTTTTTTTTTTCAGTCCTCATGATTTTACAGAGCACAACAATAGCGTCAATTACCTTTTTTTTTCATAATGTAATTTTCAAATAATGTATTGTTTAATACTAAATTGTGTACAAGCGGCGTTCAGCTCTTAGGTCTCAAATATAAACTGCACCATATTTTTGCGGCCCTATCAGGAGTAAAAACGATATTTGCCCTGTACGTGTCCTGCTTTTGCCTACTACAAAAACATCATCTTCTCAAACAGGTCCATTCTGGGGAAGATGACCTTGGCAAAGGTGGTAACGCCAACAGTCTGATCAATGGCAACGCTGGAAAACGCCTGGGTTGTTGTGTGATTGGTTCCGCCTGATTGCGTGGCTACAAACCGGATATCCGGTCTTACTGAGCACAGAAATAAATTCTAATGTATGGACGTTATCAGATATGTTAATTAAAAAAAAATGTGAATGACACCCCCTGTTGCTGTTTTCTTTTATTGTTCAGTAAACTAGTTGCTCCTTCATTCACCAAGTAATGTGTTTTCATTTTAAATGAACAGTAAATGACATTCTTCCCAAGCCTATAGGAATATTGGGGAAGTCGCCGTGGCGGAGTTGCTAGACGCTCGCTGTGGACGGAAGGTTGTGGGTTCGCTCCCTGGATGAGCCGGACTTTTTGTGTGTGCAAAAATGACCTTGTCTCCCAGGTCGACCCAGCCATTGAGTGGGTACCGGGAGCAGTCCCGGAATGTAGAGGCGGCCAGCGGGATGCTCACCACATCACCCATCTTGCTCCGTTTGGTCTATAAAATATAGGTCTAGCCCTATATGCCCTATAGACCTAAAGGCGTGGACAAGGGTCCTTAATTTTACCTTGGGAAAATTGAGCATTTAGAGCTAGACTTATATTTTATAGACTAATCAGCATTCAGTGGGTGAGGTGATCAACATCACGCCGGCAGGCTTTACTTTCATGGGCTTAACCCGGTACCCATTTAGGGGCTGGGTCGACATGGCTGCCAAGGTGATATGTGGTGGGGGGGGGGGGGGGGGTTAGGAGTCCAGCTGCCCCCACCCCTTGTTTACAACACCCCAACCCATTGTTTACAACACCCCCACCCATTGTTTACAACACCCCCACCCCTTGTTTACAACACCCCCACCCTTGTTTACAACACCCCCACCCTTGTTTACAACACCCCCAGCCATTGTTTACAACACCCCCACCCCTTGTTTACATCCACCCCCACCCATTGTTTACAACACCCCCACCCCTTGTTTACAACACCCCCACCCATTGTTTACAACACCCCCACCCCTTGTTTACAACACCCCCACCCCTTGTTTACAACACCCCCACCCATTGTTTACAACACCCTCACCCACTGTTTACCCAATGTTTACAACACCCCCCACCCTTGTTTACCCCATTGTTTACAACCCTTATTTACAACACCCCCCCCATTGTCTACAATGCCCCACCCCTTGTTACAACACCCCCACCCCAAGTTTACAACCCCGATCCATTGTTTACAATGCCCACACCCCTTGTTTACAACGCATCCACCCCTTGTCTACAATGCCCCGATCCTTTGTTTACAATGCCCCGATCCTTTGTCTACATCCCCACCACTTGTTTACAACACATCCACCCCTTGTTTACAATGCCCTGATCCTTTGTTTACAACACCTCTATCCTTTGTTTACATCCCCACCACTTGTTTACAACACCCCCACTCATTGTTTACAATGCCCCACCTTTTGTTTACAACGCCCTCACCCCTTGTTTACAACGCCCCCACCCCTTGTTCACAATGCCCCCACCCCTTGTTTACAACGCCCCTCCCCTTGTTCACAATGCCCCACACCTTTTTTTTACAACGCCCCAACCCCTTATTTACAACACCCCAATCCCTTGTTTACATCCCCACCCCTTGTTTACAACGCCCCACTCATTGTTTACAATGCCCCACCCCTCATTTACAATGCCCTCACCTCTTGTTTACAACGCCCCACACCTGTTTACAACACCCCACCACATGTTTACAACGCCCCCAACACTTGTTTACAACACCCCACCCCTTATTTACAATGCCCCGATCCTTTGTTTACAACACCCTGATCCTTTGTTTACATCCCCACTACTTGTTTACAATGCCCCCACTCATTGTTTACAATGCCCCACCTTTTGTTTACAACGCCCTCACCCCTTGTTTACAACGCCCTCACTCCTTGTTTACAATGCCCCCACCCCTTGTTCACAATGCCCCCACCCCTTGTTTACAACACTCTGACCCTTTGTTTACACCGCCCCCACCCCTTGTTTACAACGGCCCAATCCCTTGTTTACAACACCCCACCCCTTGTTTACAACATCCCCACCCCTAGTTTACAACGAACCCACATCTTGTTTACAACGCCCCCACCCCATGTTTACAACGCCCCGATCCCTTTTTTTCCAACGCCCCCACCTCTTGTTTACAACGCCCCACCCGTTGTTTACAACGCCCTCACCCCTTGTTTACAACGCCCCACCCATTGTTTACAACGCCCCACCCGTTGTTTACAACGCCCTCATCCCTTGTTTACAACGCCCCACCCGTTGTTTACAACGCCCCGCCTCTTGTTTACAACGCCCCACCCGTTGTTTACAACGCCCCACTTGTTTACAACGCCCTCACCCCTTGTTTACAACGCCCCACCCGTTGTTTACAACACCCCACCCCTTGTTTACAACGTCCCACTCGTTGTTTACAACGCCCCGCCTCTTGTTTACAACGCCCCACCCGTTGTTTACAACGCCCCACTTCTTGTTTACAAAACCCTCACCCCTTGTTTACAACGCCCCACCCCTTGTTTACAACGCCCTCACCCCTTGTTTACAACGCCCCACCCGTTGTTTACAACCCCAGCCTCGTTACAACGCCCCACCACCCGTTGTTTACACGCCTACACCCTTGTTTACAACGCCCCACCTCTTGTTTACAACGCCCTAACCCATTGTTTACAACGCCCCAACCCCTCAAGAATCTGTGTTGAAACATCAAAAATATTTTTGGGAACATAAAGAATCTGTGTGAGAACATCAAAACTCTTTGTTGGGACATCAATAATCTTTGTTGGAACATCAAGAATCTGTGTTGAATCATCAAAACTTTGTTGGATCATCAATAATCTGTGTTGAATTGTCAAAACTCTTTGTTAGATCATCAAGAATCTGCATTGAAACATCGAAAATATGTCATCACACGTTTAAAATATGTATTGAAACATCAAGAGTCTTTTTTGAACACCCTGATATTTCTTGAGCTGGCAGAATTTGTGGAGGGTTCTGCAACACAGTTCCCAAGATTACGGTATTTGTACAGCGCCATGAAGAGGTCTGTGCGCAAGCTGACTTCGATAGATCCCGTGGTTTTCTTAACCAAAACGACAGGAATGCGATTGATTTAAACTAAAAGTATTTTTGAAAGGATAAAACCAGGAAACTAAAGCGGTTGATGTAGTGTTTGCAAAGTCGCTCTAAATCAAAACCGACAACTCTTTGCGTAAAAATTTGGTAGAGTATTAAATGGGTTACTTCCCTTTGAATAATTGTTTTGCTGTTTTTAACATTAGAGCCTTATGAGGGTGTTAAGGGAAAACACCCCAACTAGAATGAATCACAAAAACAACATCGATACCATTTGATTGGCACCTTTTCGTCTCTCTAGACGATAGTGTGATACTGTACTTATGAGGAGGGATGTGACTCACAGCCCATGGCGATGGCGAGTGTGACTAGCAAGATCCGGCCGCATTTTGAAAAGCCTTCCATAAAGAGAGTATGGCATTTGATGATCGTTGTTGTTATCATAAGTACTTAGCCAGGGCGAAAGAAATTAAGAGTTTTATTAGTAGTCATCCCAATTACCGGATGCAACTTTGTTGTTGTTGTTTTAAATCCCCCACCCCAGCCCTAATATAACCTAACGGTTTGAGGGGTTTCTGGGACCTCTTCCCGGCAAATCTTCATCCGAATGGTGGCGCTTTGAGTCACTTGCTGTGTTATTGCTGGGTGTGATGTCCTAGTGGGGGTAAACGTCAGTCAATGAAGAGATTTAATACAGAAGCAGATCTGGTCGACATTACATTAGCTGGACAATCTCATACGTTCACCGTCCTCATTTTAAGCAGCCAGCTAAGAGTTATAATTCCAGTAGTACCAGAGGTAGTCTCATTTAATGTCCGACTCTTCTCTGATTGTATAGTATCAACCAGATCTCCGGGTCATCTCCCTCTGATTGTATAGTATCAACCAGCTCTCTGATTGTATAGGCCAGATCTCCATCCCCCTCTGATTGTATAGTATCAGCCAGATTCTATGATTGTATAGTAGTATCAGCCAGATCTATGATTGTATAGTATCAGCCAGATCTCCGGGTCATCTCCCTCTGATTGTATAGTATCAACCAGATCTCCGGGTCATCCCCCTCTGATTGTATAGTATCAGCCAGATCTATGATTGTATAGTATCAGCCAGATCTATGATTGTATAGTATCAGCCAGATCTCCGGGTCATCTCCCTCTGATTGTATAGTATCAGCCAGATCTCCGGGTCATCCCCCTCTGATTGTATAGTATCAGCAGCCGGGTCATCCCCCTATGATTGTATAGTATCAGCCAGATCTATGATTGTATAGTATCAGCCAGATCTCCGGGTCATCCCCCTCTGATTGTATAGTATCAGCCAGATCTCCGGGTCATCCCCCTCTGATTGTATAGTATCAACCAGATCTCCGGGTCATCCCCCTCTGATTGTATAGTATCAGCCAGATCTCCGGGTCATCCCCCTCTGATTGTATAGTATCAGCCAGATCTTCTGGTCATCCCCCTCTGATTGTATAGTATCAACCAGATCTTCTGGTCATCCCCCTCTGATTGTATAGTATCAGCCAGATCTTCTGGTCATCCCCCTCTGATTGTATAGTATCAACCAGATCTTCTGGTCATCCCCCTCTGATTGTATAGTATCAGCCAGATCTCCTGGTCATCCCCCTCTGATTGTATAGTATCAGCCAGATCTCCGGGTCATCCCCCTCTGATTGTATAGTATCAACCAGATCTCCCGGTCATCCCCCTCTGATTGTATAGTATCAGCCAGATCTTCTGGTCATCCCCCTCTGATTGTATAGTATCAGCCAGATCTTCTGGTCATCCCCCTCTGATTGTATAGTATCAGCCAGATCTCCCGGTCATCCCCCTCTGATTGTATAGTATCAGCCAGATCTCATGGTCACCCCCCTCTGATTGTATAGTATCAGCCAGATCTCCGGGTCATCCCCCTCTGATTGTATAGTATCAGCCAGATCTCCTGGTCATCCCCCTCTGA